TTCACACTTATAACCATTGCAGGTCACACTTATGACCATGGTCGTGTGATCAAAATTCAGACGCTGGGTAACTGATTCATATTTATGATGGTTGCAGCATCCTAGGGGGACACGTGACTTCATTTTTATGATCTCCCAACAAGCAAAGTCAATGGGGAAGCCAGGATTCACATAACATCCATTTTACTAACTTAACTGCAGTGATTCGCTTAATGGTGGCAAGAAAGGCTGCTAAATGGGGCCAAACTCACTTAGCAACAGAAGCTTTGGGCTCAATTGTCATCGTAATCCGAGGACTATCTGTAGTACAGATGGGAAGCCATTTGTTCCTCTGTAACATCTGCGGAGAGCCCAAGGCTGCCTTGGACGTAGATTAAAATCTGGGAGTGCCTCTAACAGTAAACAAGTGTTGCTTTTGTTTCACCCCCAGGTTTATTACTACTGCTTGGGCATGGGAGACCCTTTGGCTGTGAAGTCTTCACGGGCCCTCCGCCTCTACTCCCACCTTCGCCATCCATTGTACGTGGAGTTTCTGCTTATCCTCTGGGCTGTTCCCTGCCTCTCCCTTGACCGCCTGCTTCTGGCCTCTCTCTTCACGGTCTATCTTACCTGTGCTCACAGCCTGGATGAACAGGACTACCTTTACCTCCGGGCCCAGCTGGACAAGAAGTTCCAAATCTTCTCCCGGGAAGAGGCTGCTTATGGGGGCTTATTGGCTCAAAACGGCCCTTCAGACTACAAGGACAACTGAGTAAGGGTGGGATAGGTACCGGTTTTGGTTGCAGGGGTGGGGTCTGACTTTTCCGGGGGTCTGACTGCCAGATCCCTACTTGCGAAGCACTGAATAATACGCCCTATCTTGTCTTGATTGTGCTTTTACGTAAAAAGGACTTGAAGGGCTGCCTCCCAAGAATTTGTTAGCTACTGGCTCAGTCTCTTGTAACTCAAGACTCTTTCTGAAGCTAAAGTTCTCCATCGTTATGGACTAGAACTTCATTGTCCTCAACAGCAGTATTAGATGAAGAGGTTGGGGATTTTAGCCTCGACACATTTGGAGAATGTCAAATTGGGATAGTCTGGACTGAAACACACTAAGTTCTACTCGTAGATCATGTGACGGAGGTGCTGTTTAGGATCTTATTGGAGAAGGTTGGAATAACCGATGCCTGGGTTTGATCCCACTTTAGAACATTAAGGAGATCCTTTTTGATCATGAATTTTTCTCTTACTCTGAGAATCCTTAATAATGGTTAAAATGCAGCTATATTTCATGGCAGCCTCTAGGTTGGGTGGTTGTGTGGAGAGCAAAGCAGTTGGTTAAACAAAAGTGTCCAACTCTGGAAAAGAGGCATCTCTAGGATATGTTTTCAAGAGCATTTCTTAAAAAATGGGGGAAGTGACTGCTCTTTGGCTCTTCAATGGCCTGCTTTGACTAAGAGAATGTTTAAAAGGGTCCTTTTAAAATTAATAGCATGTTTTTATTTATTTCAAATGAGCTTTTTACCGATCTCTTGCCACAAATTTTTAATCATAGCGTTTTAACCTCAACGTGCAAATACTTAATTTTTATTTTAAATATATTAGCAGCCAAGTGCACTTATTTGGAGGGGATTACAGATGCATTTCTTCTATATGATTTGTGAGTATACAGTATGTGTGGTGGTTTAATTAAGCCGCTTAATTACTATTGCAAAGGTGCCTTGTTTTTGAAGTGAAAACTCCTTGAATTATAGAAGAAAACACAGAAATAAAAAAGCTTTCAGTCCAAATGCTAGTACTAATATCTTAGTATTAGATTTTCCTAAGGGATATTCACTCGGGTTGTCCTTTTAAAAGATTATCTTAATTAATAGAAACATTGTCCATGCTAGAATTCTCAGATACAGCTATACTTGTTATTCCCCAGCATGCTGGCTGGGGAATTCTGGGAATTGAAGTCTAGACATCAAGTTGCCATGGTTGAGAAATACTTTTGTAGACCATTGGATTATGGTTCCCCTCCTCCCTCATCATCATGTCATAGAGTCACATCTGAGGGCCATCCAGTAGCATCAATAGAGAGGATGAAAAAAGCTAAGCTCTTTTGTATAAAGATCTATAAAGGGACAGGACTTTTATCATGATGCCCCTCTGGAAATCTTGAACTCCATCCCATACGAGGCCACTGTGGGCACCAGTTTAGGGACGTTGTGGGCAATGGAAGTCCTGCACTTTAACTGCTTAGAAAAACCCTTCAACTTCCTGTACGGAACATTACAATGGAACATATTTTTAATTATAAACTGCACAGATGTGATGAATAAATAAAATGAACACAGTCCACCATTCTAGGAGCAAATGTCTGATTCCTCCCGGCTATTAGGTTATAATTTCTTACTTTTGTTAAAGGTACAGGAACCTCCTACATATACTGGAGGAGGAAAGTTAAAATTTCTAGGCTGCCGCTACCTAAGATCTGTTTCTACTGCCTTATTTTATAGTGGCCTAGAACACCACCAATATTTCAAAATTTTGTTCTGGCCTTGTAAATGTATATTGTAATTCTGTACCTTAATACTAATGAAGCTTTAAAAAAAAACAAATCTTGGATTTCAGTGCAAAATAAACGTAATCTTTTTTTTTTTTTAAAGATAAAACTTGCTTGTTTGCTTGTGTTCTACTGTGTGTTAAAATGTTTGGTTAAAAATCCTTTCTTTTTTTTCCGTCTCCAACCTCAATGGTGCTCTACGGGTTGGATGCTCAGCAGAACTTTCAGTAATATGCACAAGCTTCCACCTGCAGGAGGTTTTACAAGCCCTTCCAGCTTGTAAAACCTTTGGAAGTCAGGACCCTTTGTAAAAGATGAGTCCACAACAAGGTTCCTATTTGGAGGACAAGAAAATTCTAATTGGGTTTCTTGCACGATGCATCATGTTGTGGCCCGCCAGTGGACAGCGGATTCAGACAGTGAGGAGGTTGGGGAGGAACATGTGCCAGTCCTAGGGTCTGGGGAAGGCTCTGACGAGGGGTATACATTGGAGGCAGAGATGGGGCCAGGGCCGTCTGACAGTTATCAATTGCCTTCAGAGTCAAACATCAGTGGGGTAGAAGAACAGCTGGAGCCTGTTCCCAGTATGCGCATGTGCAGAGCTGCCAGGAGAAGGGAAAAGCTAAGGAACAAGGGTTGACTCGGGAATAAAGGTGGAAGGTGAATGGCCCCTCCCATAAGGAATAAAAAAGGAGCAAAATTGTCTCCTGCAAACTCCCCTCCCCCTTTGCTCCTCTTATTCAATTCCTTAGGGTGAAAATCTGTTCCTGACTTCTTGCCAAGTATTGTCTGCTACAGAGTGGCATTTGGAAGATATCGGCCTGGCAGTTCTCTGTAGTTGTGAAATCTCTTGAAAGACTGTTGGCCTGGACTTAGCTAGAGGGGAATTCACTTTAAGCTAAATAAAAGGGGTTTTATCAGGGCGAGGAGTAGGCTTCATGATCTTGGGAAGCCTGGGTCAGGACGCACCCTGNCTCGCTGTTGTCGCCCTGTTGATGATGTCAGCGACGCGGTTTAATCGGGCGCGCTTTAGTCGAGCGCGGTTTTGTCGTGCCACGGTCCACTTGTGCCTTTAATCCCAAGTTAGCCCTTGTTCCTTAGCTGTTCCCTTCTCCTGGCAGCTCTGTGCATGCGCACATCGGGAACAGGCTCCAGCTGTTTTTCTGCCCACTGATCTCCAACTCCGAAGGCAGCTGATAACTGTCAGCCCTGGCTCCCTCTCTGCCTCCGATGCCGAGCCCTAATCAGAGCCTTCCCCAGACTGGCCCATGTTTCTCCCCAATCTCCTCACTGTCCGAGTCTGCCACCAGCTCCACTGGCTATTGGCGGGCCATAACAAAAAAAATCAGTACTCTGCTCAGACTGAAATCAAATCTTTTCATTTTCTTAGAAGATGCTCCAATACAGGAGATCCAGGTTTGGGGTACTCTCACCAAAGAGCATCTGGGTGTCTCATCTTCTGCAGCCATGGAACATTCCCTGCCCCAGCAGTGCAGCCTGGTGGGCAGCATACTGATTTTTAAGAAGGGAAAGGACTTTATTCTCTAATCATCATAGAACAGAGCATGATGTTTTTCCATCACAAATCTTCTTTTTTTAATCCATAAACATTTTGAATACAGTGTATTGTCATTTACAAAAGAAAAACAAAGAGAGAACAAAACAAAATGTTAACACATATACTAGTAACTCTAGTAATAATATAACAGAATACTTTTGGCTCAGTTTCTCTTTATATTAGCTTATATTATATTTATTATAGCTTATTCATAATTATGTTAATTTATATTAGCATATTTATAATTATAAGCCATCTTTATATTTAATTGATACATAGCAATAACCTCTCTTCATCTAATTTCTATCTCTTACCTCTAACCATAAAATTTATTTCATGTCAAGTAATATTCAGTGTCTACTTTGTCTTTTATTTTTAAAGTCAATGTATCCATCTCTGCACAGTCTAATATTTTTCTAATTACATCCTCATCTAATGAAGTGACATCCGGTTCCCCCCTAGGGCCGTTTTTCGCCCTCTGCCTTTCCTGAAGCCTCTGGAGCACGAAAAACGGCCCAACACACAAACCAGAACTCCGTTTCCAAACTTCCAGTTTGCACGTTGAGTTGTTTTTCGTCCTTCCGGAGGGCGAAAAATGGCCTTAAAAGAAAGCCAAAGTCAGCTTTCCAGCGCATGCATGTGCACTGGAGCTGACAGGACAACACTCTGCGTGCCCTAACGAATGGCTCCACGTGCCACCTGTGGCATGCGTGCCATAGGTTCGCCATCACGGGTATAAGGAAACTTCCTATGTTCAATCCTTTATGTGCCTACTCATAAACTTTTCAGCATGTGCTCCCACACCATCGGGAGTTCGACAGAAACACAATTCACATTTATATTCACCTATAACCCAAGCGCTATTCCTGCTGGGCAGGAAAACTTTACTGACTTTTTCCCTTTTCCAACTCTTACCTGCTGTTTCCTGTCAACAAGAGACGGGAAGATGAGCCCTGGACAATCGCACAACTTGACCGTGGGTGTAAGGAAGTAGGTCTGGAAGTACTTAGTATGACCGGGAGTGCGGGAGACGCTCACCACTTTGCGGCCTACCAGCCCATTAATAAGGGAGGACTTGCCGACATTGGGAAAGCCTGTAGGGAGGTGGAAAGGGAAGGACAAATCAAAATGACTCTCATCATCATCATCATCATCTCCACCTTAATCAGAACTGTTATCATGAAAGGTTTGCTTGGGGGACCCTCCAGTTCTTCCACAAAACAAAACCTTGGGCCAGAAAGTCTGTCTCAACTTTCTTGCTTATTTATTACTAGCTGATAACCCAGCGCTGCCCGGGTATTTATTTCTCCTAATCCTGTATTAAGACAGGAAAAGCCCTGATTTCGGCAACAAGAAGCGTCAAGAAAAGCGATACTACCTTAATTTCTAATGTTGGATTTTCCTCCTTACCAGAGGGAGCTCCTTTGTGGAGTACTGTAAAGCTGTTACCATGGTGACTCCACTGCGCTGCACAGAAATCATTTTACGGCAGTATGGTAGAAGCCATTTTAAGGCACAACAGGCTGTATCTTAGCAGAATACACACCCTGAAGGGTGTTAGGGGTACCTTACCCCCACCGTATTTGTTTCCAGAGAGTAAGTAATCTGTGTACCAAGTCTGGTTGAAATTGCTTGAGATGTTCCAGAGTTATGCTGGAACACACACACGTTAGATAGATAGATAGATAGATAGATAGATAGATAGATAGATAGATAGATAGATAGATAGATAGATAGATAGATAGATAGATAGATAGATAGATANATCTGTTCCTGACTTCTTGCCAAGTATTGTCTGCTACAGAGTGGCATTTGGAAGATATCGGCCTGGCAGTTCTCTGTAGTTGTGAAATCTCTTGAAAGACTGTTGGCCTGGACTTAGCTAGAGGGGAATTCACTTTAAGCTAAATAAAAGGGGTTTTATCAGGGCGAGGAGTAGGCTTCATGATCTTGGGAAGCCTGGGTCAGGACGCACCCTGTCAATGGAGAGACAGGACTAGTGGCCCTGGAGGCATTCAATTTAGGCCCTATTCTCTTTATTACCCAAACGAACAGCTTTTCTTCATTCCTGTAAGACCACAGAAATACTGTGAGGCTCATTTTTTAATCATTAAATGTTTCCCTTGTACAGATAGTCCTTGACTTACCCCAGTTCATTTAGTGACCATTTGAAGTTCCATTGGCATTGGAAAAAGCGACTTATGCCCATTTTTGGCACTTACGACCATTGCAAATCCCCATGGTCATGCGATCAAAATTCAGATATTCAGCAACTGACTCCTATTTATGACAGTTGCAGTGTCCTGGGGTCAGGTCCTGGCTGGGGAATTCTGGGAGTTGAAGTCCACCAGGCTTAAAGTTGCCCTGCTTGGAAACCCCTGCTTTAGATAGATCGGAATTGGCTCACTTGTGTTGCCGATCAGCAAGTGCCAACTCTCACAGCCACCAAGGGAGCCTTCCTTAATCTGTGGCCCTCCAGGTGAGTTGGACTACAACACCGATATTGCCTGTGGAGACAATGCATTGGAAAACCCTTGAGGGAAAAGTGCTCAAATATGAACAGAGCAAGATTCTGTTCTATATTAGAACAGTAATGGCAAAACCTTTGGGTTTCTTTTGCCCAAAATTCGGACTCTGCTGCCATGTCACCACACAGAGACATCGGAAAACCTATTCCCTCTCCCCCCCCCCACCCTCATTTAGGCCTCTTTGAAGAGAGACAATCAGTGGCTGTATTGAAATTGGGCCGGAAGTAAATACCTGGGCATCCACTTTAGCTCTAGCATCATTGCTACTACTCAAACAGGCTGCCTTGCAAGGGTTTGGGGGAACGGCACATGGCCTAGCACTCCCCAGGATCTGCCACATGCCTTACCTCCAGGAACTGTTCTCTTTCTGTTGCCAAACCCCTACAACCTACCTGAGGCTACTCCTGTTGCGCAAGACCTTTGTTCTTGAAGCAGCTTTGGAGAATGCACTTTTGCAGCCTCTGAAAACTGCAAAAAATACCCCATCATGTTCTCGTGTGATTTTTTTTTTTTTTTGAGGCTCCAGAGAATGGATGAGAGCATAACTAATCCTGAATAAATTCCAGAGTATCCAATGGCCATAGAAGAGGACACCCGATTCTCACAAGGCCTCCGCAGCCTCCAAAAACCATGTGAGAATAGAGCATGCTTTTCAGAATAGATGTTGGATGTTATTGAACAGTCCAGTGGTGGGTTTCAAAAAAATTTGGAACCTCTTCTGTAGGTGTGGCCTGCTTTCCGGGTCCACTGGTGGAACCCCTTCTAACCGGTTCGGTAGATTTGACGAACCGGTTCTACCGAATAGGTGCGAAGTGGTAGGAACCCACCTCTGGAACAGTCGTGTCACCCAAAATGTCATGGCATGTCATCTTTGGCACCACCATCACTGTACCTAACAATTGGTGCAGGTTAGAGATAACAGTGCTGATTTTGAAAAGGGATAACCTGAAGTTTTGGCATAAATTAGGTTAGCGCTGTCTTTAGAAGAATTTTGTCCAACATCCAGGCAAGCCAGAAGAGAAAAGATAATGACTAATGCGTTATTTACCTGGCAATTGTTGTCAAGACAGTTCAAATGAGAAAATGCAACCCTTGGAAAATTCATTTGGTTACAGCATTGCACCTGAGAATGGTTAGCAACAGGTATAAGAAAGATAATGATCTGTTGTCACATTTGTTTTAACTTGGGGTGATGGGGGACTTAACTCCATTTCACATTTCTGTAACTCCTTCAGGAGTCAAGGCTGCTGAACACTGATTCTCACAAATGGATTTAAAAAAAATAATAATCTAAGGACACAGAATTAATGTATTGTCATTTGACCCATTAATCTGGTTTTATCTTGGTTTTTAGTTTTAGTCTTCTGGTCCAAGATCACACTAAGTAATGCCTTCATTCATTTCGCCTCATTTGGCAACCAAATGGGATATCATCATTTGGGATGGAAGCTTTTATGCGCATAGCTTGCACTAAATTTGAGAGATAAAGTCAGATTATATGGCAGTAACCACCAAATTTCTTTTCCATAAACTGAACCACAAATGTACTACATTAAATACAGTAACTGCCATGGAAAACAATGCAAGTGAAATTGGGTATTCTCACTAGATTTGGAATTCCAAATTTATATCAATTGGGAAGGAATCGGTGTGCCTAGTCTATTGAAAAGGACTAGGGATGACATGATAGCAGTGTTCCAATATCTGAGGGGGTGCCACAAAGAAGAGGTCAACCTATTCTCCAAAGTATCTGAAAGCCAGACAAGAAGCAATGGATGGAAACTAATGAAGGAGATAACCAGCTTAAAACTAAGGAGAAATTTTCTGACAGTGAGAACAATTAACCAGTGGAACATCTTGCCACCAGAAGTTCTGGGTGCTCCATCACTGAAGGTTTTTTAAAAGAGATTGGATAGCCACTTGTCCAGAATGGTATAGAGTGTCTTGCTTGAGCAGGGGGTTGGACTAGAAGACCTCCAAAGTCCCGTTCAACTCGTGTTATTTTGTTATATCTGAAGCAGACGCTCGTCAGTGGGGTGAACATTTCAGTCTGAATGCCAACCAATCATGCCATGCTCCATTCTATCCTATCCCACCCCACTTCTCTTTCCTGCCCCACTTGGTGAAGCTAGTACAGGTAGTTCTTACAAGAGTTTTTCACACTTAACAGCATGATCACGTGATCAAAATTTGCGTGGGTCATATGACACCTGGATCATATTTATGACGGTTGCTGTGTCCCAGGATCAAGTGATCCCTTTTTGCGACCTTCTGACAGGCAAAGTCAATGGGGAAGCCAGAGTCACTTAACAACCACTTAATAACTGTGGCAAGAAAGGTCGTAAAATGGGACCAAACACAGTAACTCACTTTACAACAGAAACTTTGGGCTCAGTTATGGTTGTAAATCAAGGACTACTTGCATTCCCTATCCAGAGCAGGCTCCATTTTCACCAGAGTATTTTGGGCGGTATGAATTATAAAAAAAATTCCTTCTCTTCAATACACTTTTTAACCTAAAGACATGATTCTTTAGCTTGCTGTTTCTTCTAGCTCGGGGCTAGTTTTGCTAAATGTGCAGTTGATCCTACTTGGATGTACAAAGAGTCCTTGACATGACCACAACTGAACCCAAAATTTCTGTTGTTAAGTGAGACTTGTTGAGTTCTGCTTCCTTTTACTATCTTTCTTGCCACAGCTGTTAAGTGAATCACTGCAGTTGTTAAATTCACTTGTTAAGTGAATCTGGTTAAGTGAAACCTTTTGACTTTGCCTGTCAAAAGGTCACAGAAAGTAATCATATGACCCCGGGACGCTGCAACTGTCGTAGCTGCCAAGCATCTGAATTTTGTTCGTTTGACCATGCTGCCATGGTCATATGTGTGAAAAACAGTTATAGGTCACTTTTTTCAGTGCCATTGCAACTTTGAACGATCACTAAATGAACTTATATAAACCGAGGACTACCTGTACATTTCTGAAAATGACTCTGCAATCTCCAATAGTGGTCAACCTGTCCAAGTGATGGGCAACAGCTGTTTGTAGCCATGGTGGGGTGGTGGGTAGAATGCAGTATTGCAGGCTAAATCTGCCGACCGCCAGAAGTTCGATCCTGACTAGCTCAAGGTTGACTCAGCCTTCCACCCTTCCGAAGTCAGTAAAATGAGGACCCAGATGGTTGGGGGGAAACAAGCTTACTTTGTAAACCGCTTAGAGAGGGCTGTAAAGCACTGAGAAGCAGTATATAGGTCTAAGTATGCTATTGGTATTACAGACATCCCAGCATCTCCCAGCCAGCAGCTGTTACAAGAGTTCAGAACAAACAGGCTACGAATCCTCCTGTGTTCCTAATTCATCTCTCCACAGCCGCAAAGGTGGGCCAGGAAATAAACATCACCTTTATTGATATACAGCGACAGCTCCAGAGCTGGGGAATGCACAGTGGGGAGGGTGGCTGGGTTGGGCTGGGCAAATCTATCGCCCGTCCCTTAGTCCAAGAGGGGAAGCTACTAACATTCATCTTCCCCAAGCAAAGCAAACAAGTTCTGAGTGGGTACTTTTCCCTTTCTGGGAGGGGCGGACTGGCTGGGCCCACTCTTGGGGGCCGAGAGGGGCTCCTCCTCCTCTTCGCCTTCTTCATCAGCATCCCGGTCTTTCTCTTCGTCCTCCTCCTCTCCCGAGCTGGAGATTTCGTCCTCCTCTTCTTCCTCCCACTCATTTTCCTCCGCAGAGCCCTGCTTGTCTTCTCGGCGATGAGCTTCCTGCAAAGCTGCAATCTCAGCCGTCTCGGGGTGATGCTCCCACATGGCTGCAGAGGGAACAAAAACAGAGCGGTGAGAAAACAAAGCATCCATCGCGAGGGACAGTCTTAGGCCAACTTCTATCTAGCCTATGCCACTATTCCTAGCAAACCCTGATCACTTCTATAAAGCAGTCTTCTGGACTCTTTACGGAGTAGAGAGCCTGTAAGAGAGACTCTTTCTGCTGCAGAAAAAGGCTGAGCCTAGGTACAATGTTTATGCTAATACTGTGCATAAATCATTCTGCATCATATGCTTCTGATATTCCCAGCAGGTAGGAAGACATGTCAAAATGACATCTCTTTTGCCAAGCATTTAATGGTTCATTATTTTGAAAGCTGATTCTAATTTGGGTTTTCTTTGCACTAGTGATACTCATTAAATTTTAATTGCGTGCCACCTTAAACATAGTCCAGAAGTTGGGGTACACACTGAATAATAAAGGCAAATATGATAGTGTATGTATGTATGTATGTATGTGTATATTGACAGAGAATGGAAGCAGTTAGCTTCCTCCCATAATTGGGGCATACCAGGGGTTGTGACTGACCGGGCTCAACTCCTTATCAGCGAGGCCAGGGTGAAAGATATATATACCTTTCACCCTGGCCTCGCTGATAAGGAGTTGAGCCCGGTCAGTCACAACCCCTGGTATGCCCCAATTATGGGAGGAAGCTAACTGCTTCCATTCTCTGTCAATATACACATACATACATACATACATACAT